TGCTAATGCTCATAATTAAAATGGCTGTAACAGTTCAAAATTTAAATGTATTATCGTTTTGTTAAAAGTTAAATATAGTGCATAATATTGAGATCCCGTCATTTCTTTTTTCACCATGTTTCTTTTTTATTTTTTATGTACAGCCTTGCTAAATCTTGCTAAGCATTCAAAAGAGAGAATGTTTGCACCTGTTATCTATATTTTTAAATCGTTTTTTGAGTATGTTCCACTATTCACAATTGTACAAAATTTTAACAGTCTATAGCCAAGACTGTTTAAATAATAAAAAGCAAAAAATAAAAAAAATCACTCCCAAGTGCCCTACAACCTGCATCTCTACCTTAAGGTCGATCACTTTTTTGTTTCTGTTGTTGCCTAAGCAACGGTGGGGGTAGAATTTGCCAAGTTTGAACGAAATCGGCTGAGCCAAAGAAAAAAATAACAGAAGAGTAATTACAATGGCAATCCTAGCTGAGCGAATTATCAAAATCCTTTAAATGTCAATTCTTCATCTCTTTAGATTCGGTTTAAAGCGTAGTGACAATCAACGATTTTTTTGGTTTGTAATCAAAAACTATGTGTGTGCGCGCTCGCAGTTTCTATGTCACGAGAAGGGTCACTCGCACATTATGGGCTGAGACAATATGAAGCTCTCTCACCAATCACTATTAAATATTTGAATTGAGATAAAATCTGGTGATCGGTGTATACACATTGTTATAAGTATACATAGAAACTAATGTACAGCCTTCTGTCTTGCATTGTAAGTGAAATGTGCATTGCAAAGTGTTAAGTGTTAATAACATTGAAATGTATTGCTCTATTTGAGAAGACAACACATTTATTTTTCGGGGCGTGCCACTAGATTATCAGTTCTTATCTTATCTAGTAAACGTTGTGGAACATCAAGATTATCATTGGATCTCATAAAATAACGCAAGATCTATTCATATTCCAATCAACTATCGCGATACATCACGAGACATAAACGCAGGAAGTGGCACAGACGACAGTAGTTGTTAGTCGTATTGCCTCCATGACCACGCCGAAATTCGAAAATAACATTTACGGAAGAATTTAGCGAATCTGAAGACGATAGTTACGAACAACGCGTATATCGCGTTACTATGAAGTCGAACGCGACAAAAATAACACACCCTCATTATTTACCGCTAATCGGATCACGCTGATAAGCAGAGATATACCATGTACATGTATATGACACCAGCTATCCCATGTTTCGGTAGTCCTGAACACGATAATAAAACTGTTAACACACAAAGTGGTATAATAGCTCGAAACGCTGCCCTTCCCAAAAAAATGTCTGAAATCCACAAGTGCGAGAAATGTCGTTTCAAAGTTGCTCATTATATATTCAAAAACTATTTGAGATATATACTAAGACATTCAGTTACTTCTAATTCGCCAAAATGTTGGCCGATTCTTAATCTTACATGGCTGCAGGGGTAATTTTGTAAACGCACGAGGGCGACAAACTACTAGTATGGCATTTACAGTCATTCAACGCACGACAACGAGATGCGATTAACGACTTGTACCACGAAGGAAACGATAAAATTGAAAAATTCGGCAATCTGTTCGCTTCAATTACCTTTCTAATACCCGTTTCTTCACCCAGAAACTGTCATCAGAAATCCAATGGCTCAGTCGTTGAAGGCTCTGGCTGCTGTCGTTTATGTTGTGGGTTCGAACACTTACCCAGGCCAACTTTTTCATTTGTTGAAGTCTCCTCGTCAACTCCAGGTTTTGTACCTTGACTGAAACTGCTTAGCCAAGGTCTGATTTACAAAATATGCCACAGTTATGTTGCTTAGCCAAGGTCTGATTTACAAAATATGCCACAGTTATGTAGCTAAGACAATGTTAGTTTTAAAAATATGCCACAGTTATGTAGCTAAGACAATGTTAGTTTTAAAAATATGCCACAGTTATGTAGATAAGACAATGCTAGTTTTAAAAATATGCCACAGTTATGTAGCTAAGACAATGTTAGTTTTAAAAATATGCCACTGTGACAGTTATGTAGCTAAGACAATGTTAGTTTTAAAAATATGCCACTGTGACAGTTATGTAGATAAGACAATGTAGTTTTTAAAATATGCCACAGTTATCTGTCTCAATTACACTACACATGAATACAAACTTGCGCAAGCTTTTACGCCTTTGTTCTCATAAATTGGCTCAAGATTTTCAGATCACGTGAATTTATTACTGCACTATGAAACACAATGAAACCACGAGCGATGCGACAGACCGGTAGTTGCAATGAGCGCGATGTCGGCCATTGGCTGTATGGTTGTTTTATCATGAGCGAGGGATCGATAGAAATATCAAAGGTTTATAGCATATTCCAATTGAAAATAGGGGCGTATTATACATTTGTTACTAATTTCGTACAGAAATTTTAAGAAGACTCGCAGGACATCTTTAAAAATTGAATAAAATGTACATTTATAGTTCGAGCGGTGGGCTTTAAAGTCAGATAAAACCCTCTTATTACGATTTTTTTAATCATATCTCCCCGCGATAAAATGTATTGTACTCTTATTATCCTAATCGAAGGCCCCAAGTATTAAGGCTACACTGATTTAATTTTATGGATGACATCCTCTGGAGACCCCAAAACTAATGCGAGAGGGCGAAAAAAAAATCCTGCTAAAACCACAGGACTACGGAGCTGGTATTACGAATTGAACCACAGAACACAGTGTATCAAAAAAAACAAGAAGTCTTTATTTGTAGAAGGCACATGTTGATGTACACATCTCGTACTGTATTACTGTCACAGATATCATCACCTTTGATTTTGAAAAGGCAATAGAATGAGGCAGATGTTAGCTTTGCCAATGGTATACACATCAACTTGATAATAAACAAAAACTGATTGTGTTGTATTGAAACAAAAAAATGAATTAAAAATGAACAATAAGTTTGTCAACAGCAACCTGGAAATTAACTTCTTTGACATTCAAACTACAACTTTTAAAGTGATACTTCAACTATGTAACAAATTATGAGAGGCTCAATATTGAAAAAAAAACAGAGTCAACAAAAATTTGGATGCAGAAAATTATGTACATGTATCTTGATGAAAATTCGTCATATGATCAAAATATTGCTGACTGTGAGTACAAGCAAATTATCCGAATCAGAAAATGAAAAAAAATAATAAGAAACGCGGGACAGCCACTCTGGACAATATGTCCTTAAAGTTGTCTGGACGAAACTCGCTTGCCGCTACCAATCTCTCGTATAGCTGTATAAACGTTACATCTCCCTGGCCGACGTCAATTGCGTACTAGTCTACAACAATCCCTCCATTTTTTTCTAAACTTTTATGCTCGCGTGTTTTGGTGGCGTGGTCGCCATGGTGGAATTCCTGGCAACGAAATACGCATGTGCAGAAGATCATTTACGACAAAATTGGCACGTTTTGAGGTTGTCCAAAACGAGTTTTACGATAAGCCAGTGCTTTGCGACAATATGAGTCGGCAAGATCCGGACAGAAAACCGATCTGTGGAGACTCGTCATCAGAGATTCTTTTTTTGAGAACAGGCGAAAACTAATGCGCGCGCGGATGTCGTCCATAAAATTAAGTCGGTGTGGCTTAAGGTAGAATTGCAGGTTCGTGGGCACTTGGGAGTGATTTTTTTTCCTTTTTATTATCCAAACACAGTATTGGCTATTTTTAAGTGTTTTTGTGCCAGGCGACAGTTCCGGACATTGAATGTCACATTCGTTAGTGAATGAATCTCTGCCAGTGGAATTGGCCTTCCCATTGAGTCTGTGGCACACTCACCCAGGGTAGGAGATTTGAACTCGGGTCTACCGATCACGAGTCTGATGCGACAACCACTGTGCTACCAGTGACCGATTCATTTTCTTTTGAATGCTTAGCAAGATTTAGCAAGGCTGTACATAAATTATAAAAAACATGGTGAAAAAAGAAATGACGGGATCTCCATATTATGCACTATAACGTTTTACAAAACGATAATACATTTAAATTTACAGCTATTTTAATTATGAGCATTAGCAAACTTCTTACTGAGTGAATTGTTATGCAAATTAGCAATTATCTCAGCTTATTTTAGTGCACATCCCAGAAAAAAAAAAATAGCTCCTAGAAGCTTTGACCTTTTGTTTTGAAATTTTCACAAATAATTGACAATGAGTTTATCTTCAAAACGCCGTCAGGGCATTGTTTTTTGGTTGAACAGTGTTACAACAATCGTACAGACAACTAGTCTGGGTGTTAATTTATGCATAAACTTGAATTAGTGAAATTTGAGCTGCCGCCCTGCAAAATTGACAACTGGTAGACAGTTTTCAAGCCGGCACTTTCTTCATAGTAAACAGATGTACCAATTTTTACAGGAAACAGAAGCATGGTTTAGAAGCTAATTTGTTTTAAATCACTTTTGACCAAAAAAGCACATTTTTGTGCATATTTCAAACTAGTGTCTACAAAAAGAAAATTCATACAATAAGCTTTCGGAAAACATAGTTTTGTGGACAAGGGAGTTCATTTTGGTTTCCTAATTAAAATAACTATCGGGTAAACTGCATATCTACGTTAATTGATTATCAAGTCAAATTATGGAAAATATTATCAATTCAAGAGAATTTCAATGTTCGGCTAGCCTCGCACAATGTCTTGTATATTATTAAAAGTAGTTTTCTAAAGAGTATCACATTAGTTCAACTTGAAAACCTTTAATAATATCGTGATCCAAGATCACGATAGAAACTAGAAACTCTTGTGTACGTGGTATTCCA